TAGATCTATAACAGCGTACACTGTAGTATTGCGGATGTCATTAGGGTCTTTTTAACTCAAATTTGAAAAAGAAAAAAAAACTAACTGATTTTGTTGCCTGAGAGTCGCTAATCATCACTTAATTGTTTATCGACATCTTTAATTTACCAGTTTAACACCGACAAATGTCCTTCTTGCCTCCCACCATCCCACCCTCCCCTGCCCGCTTGTTTTGTTTTGTCTAATGCGCTGTAATGGCGAAGAAATCATAATTGACGAAGCAATGTCACACCTTAATAAGCGAGCAGCGCGCAAAATGTGACTTTAACCACTTCAAATTAGAGATTGGATTCGGTCTGCACACCATCCATTTGGAGAAAACAGCACTGAAAGGAGCTTTGTTGAAGAGGCGTTATTAGACTTTAACGATCACGAAAGTGACACGTGGAGAATGTTAATAATCCGCTCCAGGGTCGGTGTTGCATGCATCAGTCGGGTCACAATTAAGGGCAGAGAATGAGGCTGCTGTGTGTGCTGTGTGGGTTTGAACCCTGTCAGTGTTGGACTCCTGCAGAGAAGCTCCTTCCTTATCCTGAGCAAGTTTCTGGTTTAAATTGGGATCCCTAATTAGTGCCTTGTTTTTTGTTGTTCTGTTTTCATCCTCAAATCTGTCACACTGGTGAAGTTTGAGGGAAATAATAATAATAATAATAATGGATTGCATTTATATAGCGCTTTTCGGGGCCCTCAAAGCGCTTTACAATTCTACTATTCATTCACTCTCACATTCACACACTGGTGGAGGCTCTTTTTTTCTCCAGTAAGAATTAGAATGAACTGTCTCTGCTTCTTGTCCTGCTGCATTTAAATCATATAGGTAAGAATGCCTGGATTTTATTAGTGTGGTGGGGGGGTTTCTATCTTCAACTCACTCTTTTACCCGACTGGTTTCATATCAGCAAGCATAGACTTTAAAAGTGGGATTTGGTAAGTTTTCCTTTGATAAACCACCGGAGAAGAAGAATTGAAGGAGGGAATAATTCACAGCCAAGCAGACAGGCTATGTTCCTTTGAGATTCATGAATATTTTGCCCCTATAAATCCTCTATTGAAACATTTTCTTTACCTTTACGCCTTATCTTAAACTACGAGGTTTTGCATTGGAAAGTCATGAAATAAGTCGGAAGCAGAGCAAGAGCGCTGCACTGCAACTTCCTTTCACAAAGTTTCATCATTTCTGAATCCATCGTGACTTTATAGCGCCGTATACATCCCCCCAACTTCTGTCTTCATATAGACGTTCTACATAACTAAAGGGATTAAAAAGACTTCCACTAGAGCTTTCTTTTTTAGCACAATTTATTAAAAATAAACGAAACTTTAAATTAGATCAGAAAGATTGCAATACCGACTCTTCAGACTGAATGCATTTGGTTTGCATCACAGTCAAATACATCCTTATCCATGGCGACACACTCTAACCCAGCCATGCTTTGATTTTATTCATACTCAATACCCAGGACATGCTGCAAAACCCTTCCTTCGCCCTGCCCTACTGGAACTTTGCTATCGGGGGAAACACATGTGACATCTGCACAGATGACCTGATGGGAGCCAGGAGCAATTTTGACATGAACTCTCTGAGTTCTAACTCCATATTCTCCCAGTGGAGAGTCGTCTGTGAGAGCGTGGAGGACTACGACACGCTGGGAACCATCTGCAACAGTGAGGCTGGAGACTGGTGATGTTGCAGTGATCTGTGGGGGGGTTTTCTTTTGGAGTTCTTTTTGAAAATACGGTAATATCCAGGTTGTTTTCCTTTCCCTCCCTCCCTCCAGGCACCGAGTCTTCTCCCATTAGAAGAAACCCGGCAGGAAATGTGAACAGGCCTATGGTCCAGCGTCTCCCGGAGCCCCAGGACGTGGCAGACTGCCTGCAGGTCAACACTTTTGACACACCGCCATTTTTCTCCACCTCCTCTGAAAGCTTCAGGAACACCATTGAAGGTGAGCGAGCACAAAGATATTTCTGTCTGTCTGTCATACAACTCTTTTGCGTTCACATACACAGCTTTTCGTGCCCTTTCGTGCTATTTTGGCAGGCTACAGCGCCCCCAAGGGGAACTACGACCCTATAGTGAGGAGCCTCCACAACCTGGCTCATTTGTTCCTGAACGGGACAGGAGGACAGACTCACCTCTCCCCGAACGACCCCATCTTCGTCCTGCTCCACACCTTTACCGACGCAATATTTGATGAATGGTTGAGGAGGCACAGCCCAGGTCTTTCAGTAGCATCTGTTTTTAAAAAACGTATTGTCCTTCATAATGGCGCGGTGAGCTTTTGTGCTAATTTAAAGTGCTTCCCGACAGATGCGGCTGTGTACCCAGAACAAGATGCTCCCATCGGTCACAACAGGCGCTACAACATGGTGCCCTTCTGGCCTCCGGTGACCAACTTGGAGATGTTTGTGACCGCCCCTGAAAACCTCGGTTACTCTTACCAAGCCGAATGGCCAGGTACACATTTGACCCGCACGCCTTTAATCTCGCCTTCAGAGAAATGCTCAGATGACCTGTAATCATTGTTTACTCCTGCCTTTCCAGGTGAAAATTTCACCCTGAGCGAAATAATAACCATGGCCATAGTCGCTGCCCTTGTGGTCGTCGCGGTCGTTTTCGCTCTCACCACGTGTGCTGTGCGTGCCCGGTCTCACAGGAAGGAGGGCCACCAGCCTCTGCTCGGGGATCAGTACCAGCGCTACGATGATGAGAAAAGCCAATCTGTTGTATAAACTCTCTCTCACACACACAGACACACACAAGCCCCACTTTAAAGCGCCTCTTTGTCTCACAGTGACACGCTTGTGTGGTTTGTTAAAGTCTGAATCTGTTCTCACTAGAACATAAAATCATCTCTTTTGTTGCTGCATTTGTGCGTCTATATTTACAAATAGTGCAGATGTAAATATTGACTTTTACATTTCCTACTTACTGAAGACTTTTTATAATGAAAAGGCCCTGAAATAGACTTTCACCCCGTCTCTGCCCAGCGTCACCCCTCCAGGACCCTGAATTTGATCAGTGGTTAAAAAAAGGCCTTAAATCAGGAATTGCATATCAAGATCAGCTGACTTCTAAGTTCAGTGTTTGCTGATTCACTTAACAAAAAGGGGGCACGCCTGAAAGGAATGTGCCAGTGAGCGTTTTACATCCATTTAAAGTAATGAAGGAAGTAATACTTCCTGAACATGACTATCGTTTTACTAACTGCATACTCTACATCATCCCCTGAGTTTATCTGACTTTTTAGGTTCGCTTGGTTTAGCTGCACAATACCAGAAAAGGTATATTTTATCAAAGTGCCCATGCAATTAAGCCATATTACCCACAAGGGGGTGCTGTAGTTTAATTTCTAGAACTCTGCAGGACCTACTGAACGTTCAATAGATAGATACGCTTTTTTATGATGTGTTAAGTTACTGTTTCACCTGACTTGAAATGTTGCTAATAAACGAAGTAGAAGGAAAATAAAGCACAGTGGTGATTTAAATCAAATGTAAAAGAGTGTCAAGAGTCTTTATTTTCTGTCTTTTTAGCTGAAACACATTTTTCATACAATAGTTGAAAAATGTAATTTATACTTTTGTATTTTTACATAAATAATTCTGTTAAACTTAGGGGCTATACATTAAATAGTTTGGCATCTGGGAATCATTTATGCTACTTAAGGGTGTGAACAATGCAGGCCCACGGGAAAATCACAGAATTTGATGTGGAACAAATACAGTGTAGAAAATTGGCATAGATAGCAGTGGGCATGGATTTCAGGCTCATTTGCTGCCCTGCGTCCTCGTGCAGATGGTGTTACGCGATAAGCGGCACTGCCCACGAGGTTAAACACTGTTTGCATTGAGTTTTTTGCAAAGCAGTGAAACAAATGTTTAGACTTTTTGTGAAACGTCTTGAAATGTCATGAAACCATGACGCTTTCTTTCCAGGCTCTTTACACTACCATGACCTGGATGATTGAGAATCTGCGCAGAGACGTATTTAAACTCTTTACTCAAGAAAAAAACTAGAAGAAGTTAGCTTCAGCTGCTTCATTATTCACAAAGGGTGTTTAGTTTTTACACCAGATGGCCTTCTTGATAAGAGCCCCAGAGGCCTTGGGTGACACCAGGGATCTTTTGCTTGTTAGCCAAGTGTGTAAACCCCTGTACTATGGAGCCACTAATCCTAATAAGTGCCCTAATATTACAAAAGTTTTAGCATTAAAATAAACTTAATGCTTAAAGTCTCCACAGAGACCCAAGTCTCCTTTGTTGTTGGGTCAGGAAGTCTGACAAATCGAGGGGTACAACATGGACCTACTTGTTGTATTGACCCCTCGTGACAAGGGAGCAGCCTAACAGTATTCTGGCATGGTGTTGTGTGCGTGTGTCGTCCCTGTGTCTGACAAAAACCTTTACACCGAGCAGCAGGTATACCATCGCCTCAACATCCTACACTGTCGCATACATATGACACAAACAATGCTATAACGACCCCCATACACATTGAGGTGGTACTCAATTGTAATGGAAAATGACCAAAACCAAGCAGAGCAAACTCAGGCTGAGTAGTCGCTAACGAAAAGAGGCATTATATTTTCAGGGGGGGCAGTAACCATGCCCTTCACCCCTCTGGACACGCCCCTGCTATAACTTCATTTATCACTTCTAGCAACCGTCTTTTATTACAGTTACAGGACTCTGAAAGCACCAGTTGACTGTGACTAGTTTCCCTTGACAACAGGAGCTCAGCTTGTCGGGGGGGTCACGAGGTGAGAAAATAAAGAGAATTAAAAGACCTTGCAAAAAGTTATTCATAATAAAATTTTAAACAGTCATGCTTATTTTCTTTGTGGGGTTTTGCCACCGCTTTTGAAAAATAATATCCTGGAAACACCTCTGCTTTTTTATTTCTCTCGCTCTCTCGTCTCACCTGTAGGGAGTCTGGTTTCAGAGGAAGCTCCCCCAATGGGAGGGTCCGCGGAGAGCGCGTTGTTGTTAAACTGTCCATTCACGAGCTTAAATGGGAGGTCTGTTGCTGTGGCAGCGGTGAGTTTAGCGTCACAGCGAAGAAGCTGCGATGAGCGCGCGCCTTAAAACTTTTATTAGCATACTTTGACTCCACTCCTCTCTGATTAAAGCTCACGCGAACAGCCCGCCAGGCTGTGGGAATATAACCTCCGTGGTCGCAGATAACTGTCCTGACTGCGTGTGTGACACCCCGCGATGGAGGAGGACAACAGCGTCATGCGAGACTTGAAGGACATAGAGACGAAGTTGGGCCGAAAAGTTCCGGACAGTCTCTTTCGCTCTCTCGCCGGAGGGAAACACGACAAGTCCGCAGCGCCGCATTCAGGGAACTGCAAATGTTGCGCTAACTCTGCGGACATAAAAAGACTGGAAAGCAAAATGATGTTTCTCAAACAAGAGATGGTGAGTGTATTGTCTGAGCTCTATAATAGCTTGCAAACAGTTTAAGTCTTCTCTTTAAAGCTTAGTTTCAGGTGTTGTAAGTAATATTTTAATAATTACTTTCAGATAAATGTGGTGGCATCGTTGTTTACTGCCAGGGTGGTCCTGTTTCTTCTGTTGCGTTCAAGGACCTTACCTAGACACAACAGCATTACCTGAGCTCCAGGTATAACCATTAACTGTGAACGACTGTCACGGGGGCAGGTGACAGCCGTTCACACTGTGCTGCGGGCAGAGGACTGTTTGTGAACTCCCGTCACCTCAGGGCGCTCGCCCCCTCTCCTGTCGTATGATCCAGTCCACTGCAGTTGTGCAGCTGTAATTATCTCCCCATGCTTGCATAGTTTTATCTGCAATCACTCAAATTGTTCTCAAATGTCCCTGGAATGTCCTGCTAGTCTCAAACTCCGACAGAGTCGCAGCAACGCGCCATTTTAAAAAGGTCAAGACTGGTATTAGGAGTCCCGAGCAGATGGTGTGTCATAGCCAGCAGACTGACCCGCTGCCACAGATCTCGCTCTGATAGGATTAGTTTATTAAAGATTACTGTAAGGACAATAGTAGATCTGTAATTGGCTTTTTTTAGACTTAAATTTTTGGTGGCAGTTATTTTGTTATGCAAGCATCCTGTAAAAGGAAAAAAATACTAAATGAATTTATTTTAAATGAAGTGAGTGTAATCCCAACTGTGACTGGTCTCTCATTTCAGCCACTAATCCAATCAGACCACTTCCTGCATGCACACCCACAAGTTTGTGCCAAGAAAGTAGCATTTAGCTTTTCTATTGCATTATTTGCGAGCCCAAACTAATCAAAGGAGCAAATGAACTGTAAACTGCAGTCCCACCAGGTCTGTTTGGGGTTTTGTATCACAAATCATGTTTTGCATCCAGTGCAGACAAAAACTGTGCTGCACTAATTGTGTTTCTGATATTCATTTTGTGATAGAGACCCAGTGGTGCCATCCTATTAACACAACATAGCTGCTTGGCCTATAATTCTGGTGTAACTCCATCTGCTGAGCTTCTGTGTGTGTGTTTGTGCATAAGGCAGGTGGTTATACTTGCAAAACAAACACACCGGCAGCAATGTGAGCCAAATGAAGGGTGGTTACAAATCCACTCTAAAGAAAGGCTGTTGTGTCAAAGCAGCTGTCTGGAACAGTCTACCAACCCTGTCTGCCTTCATCTGCCTCAGAGTGTTTTCACTGTAGCAGGATGTTGCAGCTGCCCCTTTACCAATTTTCATTCAGACCGGGCGTTTGTCACCAAGTAGACGCAGGGGGAATCCCTTTTGAATGACTCCATAGGCAGTTCCATCCACCCTCAATAGCATGGTTTGTCAGGGCAGGAAGTTTAGTCAATGGCCATACTGTGTAAAGTAGGCATCGTTTATCCATTGTCCTGAATAAAAACTGTCTCTTGGCTGTGATTTGACATGCGTACAAGTCGTTTTTCCGGTGTCACATGACCCAACAATGACTGGAGTAGATTGTGTTTTCTCTGACTAATTTATCTGTGGGGGAGAGTACTATTTCTGAGACCAGGAATGATCCTTGAACCTTGATGCTTACAGTAGCAATACTGACACTGCTCGTTTTTAGTTGTTTTCTTGGCTTCCACTTTACTTATGAGCTCTATTTCTTGCACTGTTAGTGGACTTTGACTCTGTCTTTAAATTGTCACGCCACAGCTACTGGCAAGAAGTAGTCCAATGCCTGAATTACGCTTCAGCGCGAAATCTACGCCATAATCTTCCAGACCAGTCGGACTCATTGTGATCTGTGTTGACCGGACATGTAGTTACATTTCTCAGGTCCCTTCAGGTTACCTGGAAGGTTACAACATGAGGTTAAAAGGAGTTTCCAGTTACGACTTCGATTTTCCTCAGAAGTCTATATCTGGCATAACTCATACCTGTCTGTTTATCTACAGATTTAAATAGGGTGCTGGTGTTGCTCACGTGGCTGTTACAGGTTACGTAATTGCTGGGTCATTTGCTCCAGTTCTGTCATTATAAATGCTAAGAAGTACACTTTTCACTACTGTGTTTGTTCTTTTGAATGCATAACTGTTAGGCAATTACAACTAAATAAAATACTCTACAAGCTCCCCTGCAGTGTGCTCAGAACAGTCAGACGGTTGAATCTGGAATACCATCTTTGCTCTGGAGATGATGAGAAAATAGTGGGACCAACAGACAAGTCACACAGTAGAAGAAGAATATACTGGCTGGGGAGAAAATAATTTGGTATGTGAAGCATGATAAGACTTTGCAAATGTCATTTTAAGTCAGCCCACAACTCTTTGTCTCAAGCTGAGCAAAGAGGAAGACTGCTAGAACCCAACTGAGATTTTTATGACCAATGCCGATATCTGCTGATTTAAAAATTTGATCTGTCGGGCACATGAAATGTAAACAGACTTCTCAGACATTTATCATGTGTAGTTATTTATGAATCCTCACTAAGATGATATGACCGCGCGCTTTAAAAATAGTCTTGTTTTGTTGTCACGACAAGTAATGGATAACTCGTTTACCTGACTTTGGTCAGATCAGCTGGTAACTGTTTATGGCGTTTCAAACAAAGGCTCTAAACACTAGTGGCATATTTAAAAAGGGAACTTCTTCCTTTTAGTAAGAGAAGTACTTGAACTAAGACAAACAATGTCTTTAAAAAAGATTAAATCAGTTACTAGTAAAATAAAAGTAGGTAAGTTACAGAGGCCTGGATGACCTCCTGTATTCCCCAACCAGTTGTCAAGTCGTTGCTGAGAGTTGCTGGGTGAAATTGGTACTAAAGAGGGTCCTACATCAAAAACCTTTTTGTGATTGCTTCGGTCACTAGCAGATTGCCTGTAGTTTGTATGGAAAATGCCTACATGTCTGCCAACAGCTACCGAATACCCTAGGCACATTTTGCAAGTGTTTGTAGACAAGTTGAAGTTTTTCATACAAACTACAGTGGCCACTGCAATCTGCTAGTGGCCAGAGTAATCACAGGATGGTTTTTCATGCAGCCCTTGTTACAACTAATTTGAGCTTGCAAATGACATCAAGTTCGAGCAATTGCCCACAACCCAACTGGAGATCGTCAACCAGTCTCTAGGCATATGTGAAAGGGTCTAATATTACAAGGTGTAGGTTAATTTTTCTTTCCCCCCTTTAAGTTAAGCTTACCCACTGCTTACATTAGCCATGTATTTAGAGAACAGACATATTGATCTGTTAACCATATTTCCTGAAATGCAAAATGCAGTGACCTTACTTGAATGTTTATTTTTCTCCACAATACAGGCAAATCTGCGAGCCATTGACGTAAAGCTCATGCAGCAGCTTATGTCCATCAACGAGGGCATAGAGTCCATCCGCTGGATGATAGATGACAAAGGAAGCGTCGCCAGCCATGACAGCAGCCTAACCGGCAGCTTATACAGCCTGTCGGACAGCCAGGACGGCGCCTCGCTGCGAGGAAGCTTCAATAGTTTGAATGATGGCAACAGTGACGGCCTGGATGGTCTGTCTGTGGGTAGTTACCTGGACACACTAGCAGAGGACCTCCCGGATGAACCCTCGCCTACGGACCTTGATTGTTTTGTGGATAAAACGGTGATCGACGGCGACGCCTTTGCCAAATCGCCTTTGAAACTCAGGGTGGAGTCGGATGAATACTACTGCTTTGGATAATAATGATAAGCTAAATGTGGCGATTACAGAGGGACTACTGTAATTTGTGAAGAATGGTTTTCAAAAGTATTCTTCACTTTTAAAACAAAATGCTATTTTTTTTTTTCCTCAAATTGTAGCGAGATGTTAGCAAGTCTTACCTGATGACTAATGTTACGTTTTACTTTCCTGACTCTGTCGAATCGACGCGCCTCTTCAAAGCGTTCACGCTTAACATTCATGTCTTAACACTTTAAACGCAGGTTAATTGAAAGGGTGTTTTATCATGATTCAAAGTTCTTGTTTTCAGCTATCCAATACCTCACTGGGTGTATCTGTCACACTTTTTAGCCTAAAGGTATTTTCAAAGGTGGGTGTGGAAAAAGTAGAAACATCAACTGAACAGCCGATTTTCCTCACTATCTGTGGAAAACCCGACTCTGAGTTTGCGTCAGGTCAACCACAATCAGCTGATCCAGACTAGATTGGGATTTAGCAGCCATTTGGAAAATTGGACATTTCATGCTGAGCGATTCTCGAGGTAAAACAGTTTCAAGTGATTAGTCTAAGTGTCACAGCAAGTGCACTTTGCTTCCATGCCAAATCCTGAGCTCCACTGCTGTATGTGTGAAACTTTTAGTTCTGCTTTTTATTGTTTTTGTTTTGTTTACCGACAAGAGTTCCCAAGTCAAACTCTGCTCAGCAGTAGTAGTTAAAGCATGTAGCCTAAAACACAAGAGATTCGTTGCACAGATTCTTGACTGAAAACCAAAGCAGTTTGATTGTCTCATAGATAGTTTAGGGCCTGCTTTAACAGCAGATGGGAGGTTTATAAATGATGGACATATGTGGGACACATGTTTTGCTCTGTGGGCAGATTTTAAATTCACTGTTGTTAAAGAACGGTTTAGCGAGAGCGATACACCGCTGTACATACATGTGTTATTTTTAGCTTTAAAGCTCCTGTGTTGACGTATCTGACGTTTGTATTCGCCTGCTTTTTAAAGCAAAAACTGTTTTTTGTTGTTGTTTTGTTTGATTGCTGATGATCTGTTGTGGAAAATGAAATAATATATTGTGATTTTTCTTGCTCATTGTGCTAAGTTGTTTTGTTTTTTCTTTAAGCAAAGAAACTTCTAAGTATGATGCATTCTGAACCTTTAGGTCCCGTTTTTAGAAACAAACCTCATTTTGGGATCCAAATGAGATGGAACGTGAACCTCACAGTGCTCGCCTTTTTTAGCTGATTGAAGTTGAGAATAATCTCTTAATAATGAGGTCAGACTCCGCGGTGCCCTGTGTAATGTGCCGTGGAAAATTACCCTTGTTAATTCACATTGTTAAAAACTCTAAATTGGGCAAATAGCTGTTTATTTGTAACCTTTAAAATATCCAAGCTGTTAACAAAGGAGGAGTGTTTGGAGTCATTTTCTTTGGCTGGCATAAACTAGCGTTATTAAAGATGACAAATCATGCTGCCAGAAACTCACGAGTATCTGTCATCTGGCTGGAATGACTGGACTGCATCACTTGAGAGTAACTAAGGCAAACAAAGACGAGACAGAGCTATTGCTGAAATGCCAGCCATGCAGAGTCATTGACGGGCTGTTATGTTATTCTCATTTGCAATGCATCGCGCTGGCTCCTTATCTTTCATGTGATAATTGCAGGTCCAGACGAGCTATAGAGGGTAAGTCTTCATGGGAAAGATGAGAACCCTGCTCTCATTGGCCTGCAAATGAATGAGTGGCCTTTGCCCACTGTACTTCAGTAGCTGTTACGCTCGCTTGGAAATGCTGCCTTGCTCCCTTTGTCCACAGAGCTCCATGTGCGCTGTGACGAATGCTGTTTAGGGTGTTTACTAAACGGTGGCAGCAATCTCAAGATTGGACACAAAGGACACTTTTAAGTGTTACATTAGGTCCAGACAGATATAATCACTGCATCCAGGCACATTAAGCATGCTTTTAACTTTGTCTCGCTCCAAGTGCAGAGCAGCTTTATTTGGTTTTACGCTGCCTTATCTCTACCACCCAGAGACTTCGGCGTAGCTAAAGACCCCTGTAAAGCTGAACCGGGCTGATTCCATTAAAACCAAAAGATCCGCGTAAATGACAGCGTGACCTTCATGTCAGCAATTCAATTAAAAACAAAAAAATATTCTCTAAACTTTCCCAAATGTAATGTCCCAAAAAATATATCCATATCCAACAACTGATAGCTCATTACTTGCAGGGAAACTGTTGAGACTAGAGTTAGTGGCCGTGAAAGAATTGGACCTACCGAGCAGGTTCTGTCAGTTTATGCTGAATGAGTCTGAGTCAGAGTGTTGCATGGTACACTACACATGAATGGCAGCTGCCATTTGCCCATTTTCTGTGGTTTTAACAAGTGTGCGTTTGCTACGTGAAAGGGACTACCAGTTGATGGAGCTTTTAAGATAAAGACAGCTGCCGTCTTTCAGCGCAGCATGCAAGACTCAAACTTTCATTAAACTTGAGATTAAACTTGAGCCCATCGTCATACTTCATTTCCTCTTGATGCCAACATGTAATGACATCTTTAGAAATTTAAGCAAGGAATGCTGCTGTCAGTGCTTTATTACAGTCAAGTTTGCAGATTCTCCCATCAGCAGCGACGGCCACACTACTCTGGGGGTGAATGACACCAAGGCTTTGCAGAAAACAAACGAGAGGAAAATCGGCTGCAGTCGCCCGTGTTCGGGGGGGAAAAGTACAAAACAATGATTTATTCATTCCTTCAGTTAGTCCTCCGTTACTTCACTTGTGCACATATAATTCCACCGCCGTACAGTCGAGACAGCAGCTTCCAACGGGGATCCATTAGCAAATTAGACACTGGGGTTGGACCTGTGCCACAAGATGAAGGGAAACCAATACTGTCTGGTATCTGGGAAACTGTCACCACGGTACCAAATGAGGATACGGGATATGGGTACTGGAAAGGGGTTCGGGGGGGGGATCAAAAGAGCCGGAGACGGCATGCACCCCTCAAACGGGAAGCGGCACATACAGGCTAAACATGTCGCCTTATTTTATTCTACTTTAATTAGCTTTTCTCTCTGCGGCTGTTTACTTTGTTTCAGAGTGCTGGAAGTTCTTCTGCAACTTTATATCAACTGGAAAAGTTCTATATGAATAAATATCAGTGCTAAAATAATCTATTTCTTTTATACCAGGATGTAGAATGAATGTGGCTCGGTGGGATGTGCAGTCACACTTGTGGTGGACAGTAGTGCTTTAAGTTATCTTTTCTCTTTTTTTTTAGCTCTATTACAATAGCAGGCAAGAGGAGCATCATGCTGGGAAGTAATGAAGCTGTGGAAAAGTTTCTGTAGGAAAAATCACTTAATGAATGTCAAGGTCTGCTGTAATGTTTTCCCTCACATGGCATTTTCTGCAGTGCCGATGGGATGATGGCACGCAGATTCATTCTCGTTAGATTATTTTTTGCTTTAAAGTCAGATAAACTTTAAAGAGAAGGTCTTGAAGGAGCTTCGTTGGCCGTCTGCCACGCTGTGAATCTGTGAATTGTTCTAAAAAGGCTTTGTGAAACTTGGCCACTCTTGGGATCTGCTATGTTCACAGCACAAGATGCTTGAAACTGTTTCCGTCGCTGCAAATAATAGATGTTAACGATGGCTGTCTGCGCCCTCTTAAATTACTCTGCTGGCATTTAGAGAAGTGCCGTTTGGGAGCTTCTGTAAACATCACATAGGAACATCGGAGAAACCCAAATACAGAAATTGGACAGCTTGAGAACTTGTTGCCCTCCAGGCTGGTCAGGCTGCATTCCAGTCATAATTAAGCCAGAGCTGAGTTATGAAACTTGATGCAGAGTGCGCTAAAGCAATAACTCGGATGCAGAGCTGGATTTCTTCCTTTAACAGTCCAAAGAAAGAGTGTTGGCATTGGCAAAGGATGCACGCTAAATACAGGGAGTGCTTGGTTACTTATCAGATGTGCAACTACAAAGATTAGAACAGTAACCCATGAGACCTAATCTGCACTCTGCTGTTCAGGAATCTCACTGGATGTAACAAATTACACCTAATTCACCGTAGTGTTTTACTGGTACAGTGAACCTCAATTTGTTTATTTTTCAACTCAACTCTTTTCTACACTTCTAGTTGCTTTTATAATTTGTTTTTTTTTTACTACTTTAGAGTAAATCTGGTGACGCCATAACTCATTATCTTCAGAAACTCCCACCTGTCAGTCAAACACAGATACTGTAAAACACTGACGTATGTTCTGGGTCCGAAAAATGCCTAAAAAGCTGGTTTCTGTCTGAAGGCCGTTAGATTGCGATAGTTGTGGTTTCAGAAAAACGTCCAGTCCTATATTAGTCTATGAGAAATCAGCTTTCTGAATTGACCTCTGGAAACACTTACCTGATGAATTTATGGGCTAACTCATTCATTTTGGGTCGTACTGAATAAAAAAAATTAAGACTTTTTAAAAAATAACTATTGGTCATACTGTGTTTATAAATGGAGGATTATCTGTGATTTGAAACTGCGCATGCCAAAGGATACAGTTTCACAGTCACAAGTGCCCCGCTCATTTCAACACTTCAGAATCAGATGTCCAAAACCAATAAGAGAAAGTACAATAGCTCCGCCCACTTTTTATGCTGTCTGTGCTTTGATACAATTTAAGTGGACGGGTTGTAAAAATGCTGGGGTGGGGGGATAAATTGGCTCTTGTTGCCAAAGCAGTTGTTTGCACTAGGTAGTATGTGCATGTTTATCTTTGCTGTAAAGTTTGATATTTTAACATGAGCGTCTATGGGGAGTGACTCACTTTAGAAGCTGTCCTCAAGTGGCCATTTGAGGAACTGCAGTTGTTGGCTTCAGATTTTTAAGTTGATTTAAACTGAAATTGAAACTGATAAGATTTATTCATTTATATTTCTAATCAGTAGTATATCATTAAAAAGTACAAAATGCTACTTTCAGCAGCTGGTCCCGATCAGCACAGTGGAAAGCTCCACATGCTTGGTTAGAGAGACTTGTTAATCTATTTTTTTTACACTGGATGCCCTCCCGATGCAGTTCCAGATGGATTTATGTCTCCGTCTGAGATTGAAGTGGGAATCTCTGAAAACTTTTGCAACCAGCACATCTACAAGCCTAAAATTATAAAATACTCTACCAGTAAAATTAGCCTAAGTCGTTGAACGCTAACATAGTGTAGACCCAAAACATAAAAACTCCCTAGTTCGAGATGAGGAGGAGATGCAAATTTCTTGGAGGGTTGTATCAGGAAGGGCATCCCACCTAAAGATTTGCCAAATCAAATATGCAGATTCATCTGGTGGCATGACCCATTATGAATAAGAGAGCAGCTAAAAGAAAGATTAAGTTTAAATCTTAGCCTAAACTGACATTGACTTAGTCTGAATTAAGGATCATGCCTCATTCAATTTAAAATACATTAATACCCCTAACAATCAAGCCTGACTCTATACTTCCTGCATGATCTCACAGCTTATTGGATTAGACTTAGATGGCTAATAGTAGTATCTCACAACCAAGCCAAATCTGTTAAAAGTTGAGGTTTCTAACTGATTTTGCACATCTTTTATTAACACCTATAGTAGCTACTAACAACTGCTCCTGATAACGGAAAATGAAAATAGCTGAAAACTAGCTAAAAGAACCAGAATCATTGGTTTTTGAATGTTGTTATACTGACTCATACTGGTTGTGAAAGAATTCCTTTTTTTTTTTTACACAGGCACAAACTGGTAGAACCAGTTTTACTCTATGACCACCTCTAATGTCAACATGTCTCAACTGTTGAGGATGTATTCCACTGAATGAAATCCTTTCTTTTGTACTGGGAACTGAGGATTGGCTAATTAGTCATCAGTAACCACAAAATTGTAACCTTTATCCCGCTGACTGATTCACCTGCATTTTACTCACGACATCTTAAGTGCTATATAAAATACGTCACATAAAAACAACCACCCCTCTTCTTTTTTCTGTGGTTTAGTTATTTCTTTCTGTATTCTCTCTACCCAGCCTGTTCTTTGCCTTCATTACTCCTTTTGTCTTACGATATGTGGGGTTGCCCAGTGACTGCCTGGCTGCGGTTGATGCATTTTTGGATGGGGTGCCTTTTCCTGACCGCTCGGCAGCAGCCTGAGCCGTTGAGCCAGCTGAGATTAAACAGCAGCTAAATAAGCCGGGAACCTTCGGCAGATAGAGAGAACAGAACAAAACAAGCGTCTATCCCATTTGATCTCCCCTTTTTTCACTCCCCTTTTGCTCTTTCTATCCAGGCCAGGAAGCCTTTCCGTGACTATATTAGGAATCAAAGAGACTTGTACAGAAGGCACTGACCCCGTCAGAGCGTTTGAACTTTTGCTTTGCTCTCCCGATAGCGAGCTCGTGAGTCACGGAGGAGACTGAAAGAAAAAATATGTGGTATTCATTTTTGCTTTGAAGTTTACAGAAGTCGTAGCGTTTCTCATTACTTCGGTCTATTTTGCCTTTGAGATAAACCTCAGCCAGTCAGCGTGTTTGATTTGTAATGTGAACAAAGTAGCCGTGCAGCTGAAAACAGACACAAACAGACTACACTGAGTTATTCCCACATTAATTATTTCCTCGCTGGGTCGAACTAGCGCCAATAAGGAGCTCTCCTAGCGACAGGCCAAAGAGGTCAAGAATCTTTTCAAGTGTTTCCTGGCAACAAGATGACCCTGCGCTGGGGAATACCATCGTTGTAGGCAAGCGTAGTTTGTTTTGTTTTTCCCCAAAATGACAGATTCGTGATTCAACAGACGCTCATTGAGCTAAATGAGGGCAGCTCGGGGTCGGCAGGAAAGCATTACAATTGATTGACCATTGAGGTCAGGAAACCTTTATCTGATGACTTAATGATGACCTATCACCAGTATATTCACTCATCTGCTGTTTTTGATCTTTTCCCTAGTTCTGCCCATGTGAGTGCTCTTCTGTCATCATTTCTGCACATGTTACACCAGATACTGCAGCTTTCTTGTCACTGTTGGATCTGTGCTCCCCTATAAACCGTCATCCTTCATGCAAAAGAGATGTGATCCTCTTGGGAAAGTACAAATTCTGCTCAATGTCCTGCAAGGAGGGATTCTCCCATGGTCTTTGCGGAGATGCTGTAGTCGCCGCTGTGATCTGGAGTCGTGTTATAAAATTAGACAGTAAAAGAAAACAATCGTATCGCCATTTCTTCTGAAACTATACAACATCAGATATGTTGTAATGTTTGTGGCTCATCTTCGTGCATTCGTAGCTGTCATCTGCTTTTTTGTATCACATCAAATCTGCCTGTTTCTGCTCCTTCTCAGTCTTTCTAACAAATCCACACTGACAGACACACAATGCCATTAGTGTCCCACCTCTCTGGAGGGCCATCCAAGTTCAAACCACCAAATTTGCCACTAAAAGCTTCCTCTGCACTGCAAAGCTGGTGTAACGGGACCATGAAGGTTTCACTCAAGTGCTTTGGTTTAAGAGGTAAAAGACCTCTAATATCCAAAGAGGGATCAGGGTGCAAACCGGCAAGGTTTCCTTGGCACCCTCTTAAAGCCCCCTCATTCAAATACACAGCTTCAATGAAAACACAGGGTCAT